GCTTGCGGTCACTTAAAAAATCGTGAATCCAATTTAAAATATAGGGATTGATTCCATAGCTTTCCAATTTACACATCAGCAAATTGTGGTCTATTAAATCGAACGCTTTTTTGTAATCCATCAATATTGCTCTCACTTCTGAACCCGTAGCGTCAGTAGCTTCAAGCCAATGGTGGATCAGGTATATTAGGGCATGTTTAGTGGATGAAAAGGGAACACAACCGTATTGGTCTGGTCTTATATGCTTCAAAACGGCAGGTTTTACATGTTCTCAGCGATTTTCGGTAAAGTATGCGTAAGAGAAATCGTAGATCTTTATTAAATGCTTCGATGGTCTGATTTTTTTGGTAAAGGGATGACGTTGGCCTTTTCCCATATAGTAGGTAGAACATGTTTTTGGAAAGACGAATTAATTAGATAACATACTGGTTCAGCAAGAAGATGACTAAAGGTTTTTAGAAACCAGTTGGGAATCTCGTCAATCTCATCTGGACCGGGTGCTTTAGATTCTTTTTGTTTTAAATACTTTTTTGGATAGTGACCAAACGGTAGGAGTGCGAACGGGACTCGAGGTCTCATGCGAGGCACTCCTCCGGTTAAAGATACAACAACAGACAATACATGTAGAATAAAATATACATAACTACAGTCATAAATAAACATATGCCACCAACTCGAAAATCAAAGCTAATCTTTGATTGTTCTTAGTTTTCTCTCAACAGATTCAATGGATACTTTAGGAATCCGATGATTAGTCACTTCAATTTTACTACTAGGGGATAGTTTCGGGTAACTTTGCAAGGGTTCCAGAAAAGCCGAATTTATATCATTGGCCAGTTGAATTTTAGAATTGGTAGACGGCGATTCCATTTCCAGTAGTTTATTAACGATGCCGGTATTTGGTTTTGACATACCACGGATCTACGTGTTTTAGATGTTCAATCTTGCTTTTGTAATATTTCGATTTGATAATTTTTCTTTCACGGTTGACTTTATTACAATAAAATTTGAAAAGCAAGATGTTGTTTCTTTCAAGGCTTTTTGATGATGGTGAATTAAGTCCTTAAGATATGGGGTCATCCAAGGGGTGTCATTTTGATGCAATTTAACGAGTTTTGGGGGCATCGTTGAATTTAAACTAATTATCATAAGTGAGTCGTTAAAATAATTTAACTGTTCTTGAGGCCGTTTGCTGCGTCCTGATATCGTTCACTTTCATTATAAGCATGTCTTGGAACTGAAATATTTTTACGGGAACTAACACTTTCAAGCACGCTGAGTTCGAATCCGAAAACTTCCCGCGCCATAAACCCGCAGTTTTCTCACAAAATGCTATTTTATCTTCGCTAATTTCACAACAAATTTTTTCATTGTTGAACGACACGGATCGATGATGCCACACGATTATATCCCTCAAAATGACCAATTTCTATTAACCGGTCTTCCTAGTAACAAAAAACCGGTTTTGCCCGAATTATTTTGAGTTATGTAATCTTATGCGTGTGTGACCGGGACATAATAGATTCGTGAAAACTGTTTATAATTTCCTTTTATTTTGAACATGTACCCCAAAATACGAGGGCGACGGTTACAAGCTATAAAAGTTAATGCAATATAACTAAGTAAACAAAATATTAAAATACACACTTCCTGTATCCTACAAAACATGCCGATTTATCAAATACAAAGTAATATATCTCCCAAAAGTTGATGAAACCATAAATATCTCCGTCTATAATGTCAAACTTAAGACAAATCATGCACCGTTCTAAAGAACTATTTACATAAATACTCAAAATGACCATACTTAACAGCTATTACGATTAATCACACTGTGGATTAATAGACCAATTGCGAAACTTAGTGGCCGCGCCTTCATACTGCACGAGAACGAGGCTTATTATGCAAAAACAAAACAATTTCTATATATTTTTATAAAGCGAAAAGTGAATTTTAGGGGTTTTAAAGTGTTTTTTCTTGAATCTCTTTGATCTTTTCTTAATATTTCGTACTAGATTATATAAATATTTGTTAAATTTATCTAAACATCGATTTCCCACTATATTTTTAACCGTTTTGGAGAGATATTTCGTTGTTGTTTTAGCATGCGATGGAACAAACATATGGAAAAGATCAATCTAGACTTTAAAATCAGATCAAGATGCAAATAAAATAGCCAGTATAACTTAACAAACTAAAATATAACTCTTTCTACCCAGATGTTTTTAGACTTCGTGCGAGAAAAAAACGATTTTGTCAAAGGATAATAACATAAACAAAGTGACTATATGACCGGCAGCCGGTCACGGTTTATCAATAGTTGAATATAAAAACTTTTGTTTGCGTTAACTTTTACCGAGCTTGCCATCAGCTCATACAGCAAGGGCGCTGCGTGCGAAAAGTTAAACGCAGTCGGGGTCGGGATGTGTTTTGTTTGATTTAGCATTGTTTTTTCTTAAAAATTTTTAAACTTTTTTTCCCGACTTTTCTAACTCTCAAAAGGTTAGGGTTAGGACTTAGGGGTTAGGGTTAGAAAAGGGTTTGGGGTTGGGGATAGGTTTATCTTATAAAAATTCAACTTTAACAATAGTCACTAGACTGCCGGCCATTTAGTATTTGATAAACCGTGACCGGCTGCCGGTCATATAGTCACTTCGTAACATAAAATTTCTACAAATTTTGCCCGACATTTACTTTCATATTTTTAAAGTTAAAATTGAAAACTTGCTATTATATTACAACTGAAACAAAATTAATCAATGTTACAACTTATTCTTTGAAATATATTAATAAAACAGACGGATAATACCTGATTCTTTCAGTGGTATAATCTGCTTCTTTTATCGGACGGCGAAAAACAGCGAAACTTTGCCTCGCACGCCGCGAAAAACAGTGTAATTTGAAGTAAGACTAAATCTATGAACAAGTTTAATAAAGATTTACATAGGCAAAACAGAAATATTGAAAAAAAATGAAGAGATTACCATAAAAACGCGTCTCAAACACTGAAATTCATTTTTCCCCATATAAAAATATAGCAGAATGATTTGTTTTTGCATAACAAGCCTCGTTTTCGTGCAGTTTAAGGCGCGGTCACTAAGTTTCGCAATTGGTCTATATATATTCATGCGTATATTTTTATACCTTTAACATGATTATAATACATCAATACTTCTATAATTACTGGATAATAACGTTAACTTACCGGGCAACTGCCCGAGAATGTTAATTCCCTTTTACTGTTGTTCTTTTCTTCGATATAAATGTTTCTTTGACGATAAAATACTGAATAATATCTTTTGAAATCGCTTTTATATTTGTTCAACTGCATTTTGCAGCATGGCGTGTTCATGACGTCACAGGAAGTGATCACATAACAGGAAGTTAACTAACAACAACTATTAAGGTGTCTCTGAGTCTCTCTACAGTTTATTCAACCTGGCCACACGTGTAAGCGTGTTGCACGTAAACAACATATCTTGTCTACAACTTTGAGAAGGTACGTACAGATAACGCCTTCTAAATTCCTCAGTTCTAGCGATATCTCTGTAAAATTACAAGGACGTTAATGCTAAGTATTTTGGCTATATCACTGGCCTGAAAAATAACTAATTTAACGCGATCAAGGTATTTAAAACAAAAGTAATGCGAAGCCAACGTAACGGCAAAGACAACGCTAAAATGAAATATTGTCGATTGATTGCTAGTAGAAGACTTACGACAGGATGAATCTTAAAGTGCTTATGGAACGAAATTTTTGCCTCATTTTTTATTGTTTTATTAAAAGGTACTGCTCAAATGATGAAGAATGACGTTTACAGTTTATTCATATCTCATTCCCAAGTTATCGCACTTTCTATATAAAACTCGGCACACTTAGTGGGTGTACCCATATGAATATTTTTGGTAGGCCATGTGGTTGCCATGGCAACAGACTAGTCCCCAGTCTCTTCTCTTCCTTTTCACAATTGTCCTCCTGTAGACCTCTGGCAGAGGATGTTTGTATGTTATAACGGTTTAAACTGATCACAATACCTACACGTATTATATTAATGAGCGAAAATTGCAAAAAATTGCTATTTATTTCGTTGGAAATGGATCACAAAAAAATGGAAGAGAAGGGACTGGGCACGAGTGTGTTGCCATGACAACCTTATAAACAAGCCAAATTGTTGACTTTGTTACACCCACTAAGTGTGCCAAGTTTCATTGACGTTTATTAAGATATCAGACTTTCTTGAGATAATGGCAGTAACATGTTATTGCTATTATCTCAAGTCCTTCTTGTGACGTCACAACTGAAAATATAGAAAGTGCGATAACTTGGGAAATGAGATACGAATAAAATGTAAACGTCATTCTTCATCATTTGAGCAGTACCTTTTAATACAACAGTAAAAAATGAGGCAGAAATTTCGTTTCATAAGGCACTTTAAATAACCTTAAACTAGGGGAATAAATGTTCATATCAAACTGACAAAGACCAGTGCCAAGGTATATAAAATCTGCTCTGTAAAACTTACAACGAAGTGGAGAAATGTGTTTATTTGGTGATTTCAACGCATATGGCAGCCCTCTTTCCAATAATATTCGCTTATCGCACAGAATAACACCAACTGATATAATAGTTCAAATGCAATGATAAGTTACCTCTTGGATTACATCTCAGAAACTGTGTTGGAAATGGAAATGCTGATCCATTCCATAAGATTACCGTTTTACATCGTTGTAAACATGATTTTGATCGCATGTAAGGAATTATTTCTCATCCCAGAGATATAGACCAACGACTTAACATTGACGTCCATGGGATTTTATAGAGATACAGCCAGAACTGAGGATTTTACAATTAAAGCGTTATCGGTACCTTCCCAAAATTGTAGACAAGATATGTTGTTTACGTCCAACAAGCAACACGCTTAAAATTACATAACTCAAAGTAATTCGAGCAAAACCAGTCTTTTGTTCAATGTAGAGACTGGTTCATAGGAATTAGTCATTTTGAGTTATGCAATCGTATGTCTTCATCCATCCGTGTCGTTTTCGTTGAACAATGAAAAAATTTGTTTTAATTGTGAAATTAGCGAAGATAAAATGGAGGTTTGTGGGAAAATTGCGGGTCACGGTGCGGGAAGTTTTCGGATTTGAACTCAGCGTGTTCGAAAGTGTTAGTTTCCATAAAAATATTTCAGTTCCAAGACATGCTTAATGAAAATCGTTTTCTAGGCACTTTTCGAGGACATAGCAAACGGCCTAGTAGGCAAAGAGTTAAGTACGGACCAATCTAGCCTCCTCCACAGGCAACTCTTTGGCAAAAATTGGCAAAAGTGGTATTATGAATAAAAAAATTGGCATGAAAATTTCATAATACTTTTAATGCCAATTTGTGCCAAAGAGTTGCCTGCGGAGGAGGCTAGGACCAATCCATATTGCTTAAAAATCTTCCTAAGCGGCTTCAAATGAGCTCTAATTGTTCCTTTTGCGCACTGGTATTTAAAATTTCTTTGTATTAGACGAACTTGGCCGTAAGTTTGGAAAAATAGTAACGGTAAAATGGTCTGATAAGCCGAAGGGTGGCTTCTTCTCAGGGTTTTGGTAAAATTTAGCTAAATTAGTCAGAATCAAGTCCAAAGTACGTTCACTTCTAGTAGGAAATTTAACCAGTTGTTTCACACGGAATTGATTTGTAATTTGGTTAATGTTAAGGGAGTTAAAATCACCAGCTATTATAATCGCAGCATGGGCATAGTGCTTTCTATTTTCGAAAGGTTATCAGTTATGTGGTTAATTAATACATTGTCGTCAGCAGTAGGTGGATGATAAACTGTTGCAACAATAAGTACAATAAGATGAGAAAAACCCTCGAGGCAGTCGGCTAGGTCTTTGCACCACAATATTTTGCACCACAATATTCCCACATCCTCTACGTCGTATTCGGTTAGAATAGTGACAGGAGTAGACGCTCTAACATACATGCAAACCCCACCATGTTGGGCACGAGTTCTGTCTTCCCTTACGATTGAGTAATGGTTAATAAATATAACGTTGTTACCACTGTGTCTTTTAGCCAAGTTTCAGTAAAACACATTATGGTCGGCTCATGATCATTAGCAAACTGACGTAATTCATCTATTTTTGGGGCAAGGGACATCACGTTCGATAATGCTACAGAAGGAGCAAAAAATTGAGCCTTATACTATTTATGGAGGTTTGAGTGTTTATGGATTTGTTTGGATATACCAAATTAGCCTCAGAGGCAGGGGCACCGGAAAGTCGATAATTGGGGGGGGCAGATATTCATATATTCATATCCTGCATCATTTATTTCCTTTGAAAGCGGTTGTTTTTACAGTCTGTGAACACGAATATATAAATATC